TCTTGAGCACTCAATGATGCTCCCTTTTTTAACTTTTTCTACCTTTGAAGCAACCCTTTCATCTTGTTCTAGTCCTAGCTTTTCTGGTTCAACATTCTTACTCTCTTCTTCATAGACAAAATCTATCCATAGAGCCTCTTATTCCTGTATTTCCTGGACTTTAGTTTCAATGTCCAAGGCGCAATACTTGCCAAGAGCCAAAGGTCTAGCTTTTTGTTGCCTCTAACTACAGCTAATCACCATGGCTTTTTTCTTTTCTTCCTATACCTTTTGAACTATTGTCTCTATGTCCAATGTTAAAAATTTGATTAAAGCCAATGGTCTGGCTTCTTGATCTTGATCCTTTTGCCTACAACCAGGCATCATTGGCATCTTTGATGATGAACTCTTCATCAGCACTTTCCTGTGCTAGATGATTCAGGTGTGCTACTTCCTCATCAGCCATTACTTCAGCTGTAACATCAGACTTCCTTAGTACACTAAGTGGTACCATCCCTTCAGTGTACAGCTTGGCTTCTGCAAAATCTGCATAGGCAATAAAGGGTTGTGGATCTGCATTGATCTCCTCTATTTTCCCATTGCCTATTGCTATCATTATCTTCTAATGTAAAGAAAAAAGCACACATTTTTTTGTGTGGATCCAATCCTTGCCAAGCAAAGCATTATATTTGGCATTGCTGTGTATGACAAAAAATGTCGTCATACAGTCTCTGGCTCCCACACTTAGGTTGATAGACGGAATGCCTTGAGCTATCTGCTTGTCTCTAGTAAAATCAGTAATTATAGTGCTTGTTGGGACCAACTTGGGATTTCTTTTCCCTAACTTCTTCAAGGAGGATCGTGGAAGTAGGTTCATTGTTGCCCCATTGTCCACCAGTAGTGTGCCCATTTCTATTTCATCAAAATAAGTCTTAATGTACAGGGGCTTAACATGTTGGGTCATGGATACTATAGGGAATTTGAAGGTGTATGAGACGTTAATGCTTACCTCTTCACTCTCTTCATCAGTTTCCATGGGCCTGGCAACCTTAGATTCATCTTGGACCATGCTAGTTTGTGAATCCTCACTGGAAGCTGGACTGGGATCACCCTCCTAACCTTCTTGGCTCTCCTCCTCAGCTTGAAACTCCTGAGGCAGCACATAAACCATATTAACTGACATTGGAGGGAATGAGCCAAATTGTACTACTGGTTGTGTTTGTTCTCTTTCTATATTGGTTTGCTCTGATGCTTGGGAAGCATCATTCATACTGCATTCTGGTACTTCAGTACTAGCAGGTTCCTTCGACGTGGTTTGTTGGTCTACCTCTGCTGGCTTTTCAACCATGAAGGTATGTTTAGCCATAAAAGCTTCGAACATTTTCTCTTCATCCAATATCTTTTCTTGGCCTAGTTCAATTCCTTCATATGTCTCATCATCACTCTCCATCATGACCTTTTCGAGGCCTGCTACATTGGATCTCTCTTTGGCACTTAGTTCAGCATGAACTTTGGCCAATTGTTCTTTACTGGCACTTCTTTTAATCTCAGGAGTAGGCTTTGAACCTTCTCATTCTTCTGTTTGGCCTTTTGACTGCACCAAGGAAGTACTTCCTCTATTCTCCTTCAAATCTCTTTGGTACTGGGTGTATCTTCGCTGGATTTTCCTTCTTTGAGACCTGGAGATTACAGGAATCATATCTGGTTCCCTTGTCTTTGGGTTTTTCAGTAATACCCAGTTATTTAGGGCTACCAAAGGGACTTGATCACCTTTCCTTCCCTCTAAAAACCCTTTCCTGGGTAGGCATCACTTTAGGTTTGTTTTGCATGACAAACCAATCAGGTACCCTTGGTACCCATGTACTTATTGCTCCGGTTGTTAGGCTTGCTACTCTTCTCTTTGAAACTGTCTTCGAAGTTGTCTTTGAAGGCCAATAATTGGCTCTAGTGCCTTGTCGTCAGCCAAATTCAGGCTTTTTTTCAGCTGGCCGACTGTCCTGTATTAGTCATATGGCCTGATCTCGTACAGAGGTCTCTTACCCCTTGACAGATTCCTGGTGTCTGGAGGCCTAACCAAGGGTGGCTGCTGCCTAGAACCAATTGGAAATGGCCTCCTGCCATAAGTGTTGGCTGGCCTACAGTTTCCCTGCATATCTTTGTAGTACTTCTTCCCATTAATGGTACTGGTCTTTTAGGTGTTTGATTATTGGTTTGACCATTGTTTTCCCCATTATTTTGTACAGGCTGTCTATTTCGAGCCAATTGCTGCTGAAACATATTTATGTTTTTTTCAGCTTGTCTAATGATGGGTGGTTGATATGTATGCATTCTATCCAAAAAGGATACTGCCTACCTTTCCATTGTATACATTAACTGTTGTCCCATAATATCCATTAAACCTCCTCATTGATTAAATGGTGGTGTGGAGAAGACAGTTGAAGGGCCAGCTTCTTGGCCTTGCCCAATATTTTGGACTTGGGTTGTATACCCTAAAGTAATGGTTTCTTCAACCAACCATGGAGGATTGTATAAAGCAAACGCATTTTCCGGATGTGGCTCAACATTTTCCTCTATATTAGTTTCTTCTACACCTTCTTTGAGATGGTCATTTTCTCTTCTCGCTCAACATCTAGCCATTTTAGAGGTCTTACTGGGTGTGCCAAAATTATATGTTGGCTTTTTTCGCTTTCGAAGGTTAATATTGTAATTTTAGGCATCCCAGCATGGATCAATAAGTCCTTACAGAAATTTTAATTGCTAACCAATTATCAGACGATTGTGTTGAAATTCTTTTAACCTCAATGAAGAGGACTTTTGCTGGTGGCTTTGCTTAGAAGAAAATTAAAGATATTGGCAATAATAATAGATAAAAATAGTTTCACGAACTGAATTTCATTAAATAATATGAACTTACAATGATACCATCGCACTTCTACAGTCTCGAAGGGTTTTACAGCAACAGACTACTTGGAACTACTCTTAAGAATTGAAGTGCAATACAGGAATTAAAGAACTGGAAATGTAGAAACTGGAAAGAAAAATTATAAAGTAAATAATTGATTTATGGATCTGAGTCTAGGCCTTTTTCTGGTAACCGTTTAAATGGTCTTCTAATTGTCGAAATGCCTTTCCTCGATCACTGGTCATGGCCTTGAATAGTTTGCTTCTACTACGCCATTCTTGCAGTTGGACTTCCCTCTTGAATTTGAATTGTGAGTAACCGTTGGGCCATGTCACCTTGCGCCGTCTAACTGCTCCAATGTTGTGCAGATCCATTGTTACCAATATAAATTGCCACGTGTCCGTCATTGGCTGGAGACTTGCATTAACTCCCCAAATTACCCTTTACGAGCCACGTGTTGAGTTGCGATTGACTTATACAAAACCTGTAGCCAACATTATCTATTTACAATCAACAACCTTCTATATTGCATTTTTTTCCCTAAGCTTTGACCCTCATAACAAATCAAAACTTTAGTTTTTAATTTATCAATTTAAACTCTAAATTTTGTATTTGTTTTCAATTTAAATTGTTTATTTTCATTAAATTAAAAACGATAGAAAAATTAATATTTTAGTCATTGAACACAATAAAAAAAAATATTTTAGACATTTTATTTATATTTACATCGAATTTAATGATTAAAATACTATTTTTTATTCGATTTTATTTGACAAAAATAGATGAATAGTTTAGATTGAAAACAGATCAAAAGATTAAGGTTCAAATTCTAAAAATAAAAAATAAAAAAAAGTTAAGATTTATTTTGTTGCAATGTTCAAATATTGAGGATTTTTTTGTTATTATTGTTGTAATTGATCCAAAATAATATAACTAAACAGATTTACAACTTATTTTAATTTTTTTACACTAATAATATGAAAATCTGTAATTAAAAAAAAAAATTATAAGTGATATCAAGCAGGTCTATAATTCATCGTCCCATTATTTTAATTCATTTTGTTAATTTATCCAATCGTCTTTAATTTAATTTAATTTTTTTTTAAAAAAAAGTGACTTGTATCTTTTATAAATGGATTGATTCTATTACTTAGAGGGCCGGACTTTCCTCCAGTCCATAATCGGATTGGACAGTACTATTGGGCCCGTGATCATGGATTTGAGGGTATTGTTGGGCCCATGGGGGCCCACCACAGGTCCTGTTTCAATAATCCAAACTGTTAAATGTATAGAACTCGTTGAGTACTATATGCCTGCAAAAAATCGCGTTGGTCTGATATTGATAACTATTTCATCGGATCAGATTTCTGTCAACCATTTATTTTTTTACCGTTCATTTTTTAAATACAAAATTGATTACGTAGCTATCGATATTCGATCAACGTGATTTTTTACAAATATGTCGTACTCAACGAATTTCTATACATTAGACGGTTCGAATTATTGAAATAGGACTCCTAGTGAGCCCCTACAGGTCCAACAGTATCCTCCAATCCGATCATAGACTAGAGGAAAGCCAGCCCCTACTTCGGACTGGAGGGAAGCCAACCCTTACTTATAAAGAGTAGTGCAAGAGAGACAATTAGTGATCATCTCATTATACATTATGAAATACTAATAAAATAAAAAAATTTGTTAGTGATTTTATAAGATGATTTCACATAAATAAATAAATAACTTGAATTATAAAAACAATGACGTGTTAAATTTATATAATGAAAAATGTTTGATGACCCGAATTTGTGTAGTTTGAATGATTCAAATGTATCAAAACGATATTGTTTTGACAAATTCAAGCTATTCGTGCTATGAATTTTCCGGTCACCAAACATTACTGTTATATAATTGTTTTGTTATGAAGTAATATTTTCTGTGAGATACTATCTTCAATTAATTATTTATTAAAAGTCATGGCGTCAACAAAAGTGGCCGGTCAGAGGCCAAACAAGTCACGCACACAGGGCCACACAAGTCAAGCACACAGTCAACCCTTCCCCACACACAAACACAAGCTTGCGTACGTAGACACACACAAACGATAAGATCAAGGAGCATCGTTGAGCTCGTTGAATTGATCTGGTTTTTTGAATCCCAGGAGCTTGAGCTTGAGCTCTTCTGAGGCCAAAAAGGTCACGCTTACAAAAATGTCTACAGATTTTCCTAATACTGAACTAGAAGTCAACGTATTGGAATGGCTTCGCCAATCTCCAACGAGGACGCCTCTGCTTTCCGAACAACTGTCGACTCCGCTACCGGAACAACCGACTCCGACGCCGACTACGACTACGATCCTCGACGGTGAGGTTCTCCTCCTCCGTTTATTTTACCTTTGTTTTTTATTTTTTAAACCTCACCTCATTTTCATTGAACTCAGTAGGTTTTGTTTGAATTTTTTGGATTGAATTTTTTAAAAATTGAGTTTTTTAATTTTTGTATTTTTTTATTTTTAGTGAATATTTTTTAAATTTTAAATATATTTTTTTAATTTTTTTAGATGTGCATTACTTAGATGTATTAAAAAGTAAAAAATTTATGAAAAAATATTTTAAAAAATTAATAAATACATAAAAATATAAAAAATGTACTGAATTTTCGTTTTTTTTTTTTATATATTTTTGGTAATTAGTGAATTTTTAAAAGGTTTTTTCATAAATTTTTTACTTTTTAAGTATATTTATGTTAGGATGTCCAAAAATTTTTTAAAAAATTAAGTAAAATAAAAAAATAAAAAAAATAAGAAAGTAAAATTTTCTGAAAAATATTTTTAAAAAATTCTAACTAAAAAATATTAAAAAAATTAAGTAAAATAAAAAAATAAAAAAATAAGAAAGTAAAATTTTCTGAAAAGTATTTTTAGAAAACTCTAACCAAGCAAATAATTTTTTTTCTTTTTTTTTCAATTCAGTTATGTTGCTGGGTTTGTTTGTTTGTTTGGGGCTTTCGTCATTCACTCTTTAATTTTCAATTTAATTTAATGCTAGGCAACCCGGATCTCAATCAGAAGATCGAACGTGTGCTTCGAAATTTATGCGGAGGGCGACATGGGCCTTTGCTACTTCAATTTTGGACAATCACAAAAATGGGCAGCCGGTTTTCTCTTAAAACTCAAATTTCACATTCTTTTCCTGTAACACCTAATGATGCACTTACACGGTATTGGGTGACGTCTCACGGTAATGAAATTAGCTTGCCTGCTCTTTCCCGTGTGTCCATGTCCGACTTTGGTTGGTGTGGCTCTCCTTTAGCAACTTTGTTTTTGACAGCGTATTTGCCTTATAAGGAGATTTGTGTTGGTATGCTTCAAATAGTATCCTACACCAAAGAGACATGTCTACAATTTTTCAGGAAAGCTTGTGTTCGTGACCGCTTTCAGGTTTGTTCCCAACCCATATATCTTAGACATGCTCAACATTAATTCATGTGAAATATATAGTTTTCAGTTGAATTTTCTCTCAACTTTAGTATTTAATAGTAAACAACTCATAGGGTACCGTAATATAGATGCCAAAGTTTCCGTGCGGTTTTGTCAACTTTGCCAAAAAAGTTGCGTTTTGGAGTTCTTCCCAAAAAAGTCAAAATAGCTTTTTATCATTAAAATCATGGGAAAATCGGTTTAAAGTCCCTATCCAACTTTTAGTAATGGATTAGGTCTACAATGTGTTCTTTTGTAGCCTAAGGTCCCTCAATGTTATTTTAGAGTGTAAAATACCTGTCTTACCCTTATTTATATTATACATTATTTTGAATTTGACAGCTACAGATCATATTGATATTTTGTGGGAGATTACGTGAGGATGAACTTGACGATTCAGATTTTTGTGGAGATTTTCTAGGGTTTTTGTAGGTGTTGAAATCTTGTTCGTTGTTTATAGGTGTTGAAATCCTGTACGAGTTGAAATCATGTTCGTTGTTTGTAGGTGTTGATCGATCGTGTAGGAGTTGAAATCTGGTTCATTGTGTTTGATTTGATTTCATGTGGAGTTGCTTTTTCATTCTCTGTCAACATGGTTATGAGTTGCTTTTTGGTGCTCTGTTTTTCTGCGTTTTTGTACTCTGTTTTTTGTTCACTTTGCATTTTTTGTGTAATGCAGAGAAAATTGCAGGTTTGTTACTATAATTGAACTCAAATCACAGAGAAAATTGTAAGCTTGTAGTGCAGTGAAAATCACAGAGAAAATTGTAAGTAGGCAGAGAAATTTACAGATGTAGCAATAGAGTAGTAAGTGTTTTGTTTTTTTTTTTAAATTTTTTGAATTGAATGTTTTATGAACATAACAGATCTTCTCTGTGATTTTTTTATGTGCTTGTGTTTAATATATTTTTGTCTCTTGATGTTAATGTGTTTTTGTTTTTGTTATATTGAAAGTGAATATAAGTTCACAAATTTCTCTGGACTTTTCTTTGTAGTCCAGAGAAAATCATATGATTGTATTACAGTCCCATTGGAACTTCTTTCCTTTCTTCAGGAGGCCAAAAAGTGGTTTATAAGTCAAGGTTAATTTTGAGATAAATCGTCTAATGAATTGCACTTTACCCGGAAAGCCTCACTCCTCATTTTCAGTCCTTGGTGGTGGCATTTCTAAGGTGGCCTTGATTTTGGAAGGGTCGACTTCGATACCTCTCTGTGTAATCAGAAATCCCAGCATTTTCCTTGCTGTAACACCAAACGTACACTTCTGAAGATTCAGCCGCAACCGAAATTCTCTGATCCTTTGAAAGAACTTTTGCATCGCGGTATAGTGGCCCTCTCTTTCTTTGGACTTGACAATCATGTCATCCACATACACCTCTACCTCTTTGTGGATCATGTCATGCAATATCGTGGTCGCGGCTCGTTGATATGTAGCTCCAGCGTTCTTCAACCTAAACGGCATCACTCTGTAGCAGTAGGTCCCCCACGGGGTGGTGAAAGCAGTCTTCTCCCGGTCCTCGGGTGCCATTACAATCTGATTATAGCCTGATAAACCATCCATGAACGAAAGCAAAGCATGCCCCGCTGTGAAGTCCACTAACTTATCGATATGAGGCAAGGGGAAGTCGTCTTTCGGACTAGCTCTATTCAAGTCCCTGAAATCCATGCATACCCGGATCCTACCATCCTTTTTCAGCACCGGAACGATATTGGCCAACTAAGTTGGGTAGTCGGATACAGCAGGAAACCTGCGTCAATTTGCTTGGTGACCTCTTCCTTAATCTTGAGAGCCCAGTCCGGGCGGATCCTTCTGAGTTTTTGTTTAGCGGGTCAGGCCTCGGGGTCAAGAGGGATCCGGTGCTGTACAATCTCAGGATCGATTCCAGGCATGTCTTCGTAGGACCACGCAAAAACATCTTTGAAATCTTTTAATAAAGCGACTAAGCGCTCGCGTTTCTTTGAAGACAACGTGGACCCGATCTCGACCAGCCGCGGGTCCTCCTCAGTACCAATATTCACAGTAGTGATTTTATCCATTAAGGGTTTAACAAATCTTTCCTGCTCTTGTTTAATTAAGCGTTGCAAAACCGGAGGAATTTCTTCATCGTCGTTTTCGTCAAAATTTTGAAAGTCTGAATTAATGCAATAAATCAAGGGCACAGAAAAGTACTCAGAAGCTGTCTATTTCGAGCCAATTGCTGCTGAAACATATTTATGTTTTTTTTCAGCTTGTCTAATGATGGGTGGTTGATATGTATGCATTCTATCCAAAAAGGATACTGCCTACTTTTCCATTGTATACATTAACTGTTGTCCCATAATATCCATTAAACCTCCTCATTGATTAAATGGTGGTGTGGAGAAGACAGTTGAAGGGCCAGCTTCTTGACCTTGCCCAATATTCTAGACTTGGGTTGTATACCCTAAAGTAATGGTTTCTTCAACCAACCATGGAGGATTGTATGAAGCAGACACATTTTCCGGATGTGGCTCAACATTTTCCTCTATATTAGTTTCTTCTACACCTTCTTTGAGATGGTCATTTTCTCTTCTCGCTCAACATCTAGCCATTTTAGAGGTCTTACTGGGTGTGCCAAAATTATATGTTGGCTTTTTTCGCTTTCGAAGGTTAATATTGTAATTTTAGGCATCCCAGCATGGATCAATAAGTCCTTACAGAAATTTTAATTGCCAACCAATTATCAGATGACTGTGTTGAAGTTTTTCCAGCCTCAATGAAGAAGACTTTTACTGGTGACTTTACTTAGGAGAAAATTAAAGCTATTGACAATAACAATGGATAAAAATAGTTTCACGAATTGAAAATAGTTTCACGAACTGAATTTCATTAAATAATAAGAACTTACAATGATACCATCGCACTTCTACAGTCTCGAAGGGTTTTACAGCAACAGACTACTTGGAACTACTCTTAAGAATTAAAGTGCAATACAAGAATTAAAGAACTGGAAATGTAGAAACTGGAAAGAAAAATTATAAAGTAAATAATTGATTTATGGATCTGAGTCTAGGCTTTTTTCTGGTAACCGTTTAAATGGTTTTCTAACTGTCAAAATGCCTTTCCTCGATCACTGGTCATGGCCTTGAACAGTTTGCTTCCACTACGCCATTCTTGCAATTGGACTTCTCTCTTGAATTTGAATTGTGAGTAACCGTTGGGCCATGTCACCTTGCGCCGTCTAACTGCTCCAATGTTGTGTAGATCCATTGTTACCAATATAAATTGCCACGTGTCCGTCATTGACTGGAGACTTGCATTAACTTCCCAAATTACCCTTTACAAGCCACGTGTTGAGTTGTGATTGACTTATACAAAACCTGTAGCCAACATTATCTACTTACAATCAACAACCTTTCTATATTGCATTTTTTTCCCTAAGCTTTGACCCTCATAACAAATCAAAACTTCAGTTTTTAATTTATCAATTTAAACTCTAAATTTTGTATTTGTTTTCAATTTAAATTGTTTATTTTCGTTAAACTAAAAACGATAGAAAAATTAATATTTTAGTCATTGAACACAATAAAAAAAAATATTTTAGACATTTTATTTATATTTACATCGAATTTAATGATTAAAATACTATTTTTTATTCGATTTTACTTAACAAAAATAGATGAATAGTTTAGATTGAAAACAGATCAAAAGATTAAGGTTCAAATTAAAAATAAAAAAAAAAATTAAGATTTATTTTGTTGCAATGTTCAAATATTGAGGATTTTTTTGTTATTATTGTTGTAATTGATCCAAAATAATATAATTAAACAGATTTACAACTTATTTTAATTTCTTTACACTAATAATATGAAAATCTGTAATTAAAAAAAAAAAAAAACTTATAAGTGATATCAAGCAGGTCTATAATTCATCGTCCCATTATTTTAATTCATTTTGTTAATTTATCCAATCGTCTTTAATTTTTTTTTTTTTAAAAAGTGACTTGTATCGTTTATAAATGGATTGATTCTATTACTTAGAGGGCCGGACTTTCCTCCAGTCCGTAATCGGATTGGACAGTACTATTGGGCCCGTGATCATGGATTTGAGGGTACTGTTGGGCCCGTGGGGGCCCACCACAGGTCCTGTTTTAATAATCCAAACCGTTAAATGTGTAGAACTCGTTGAGTACTATATGCCTGTAAAAAATCACGTTGATCTGATATTGATAGTTATTTCATCGAATCCGATTTCTGTCAACCATTTATTTTTTCACCGTTCATTTTTTTTTTTAAATACAAAATTGATCACGTAGCTATCGATATTCGATCAACGCGATTTTTTACAAATATGTAGTACTCAACGAGTTTCTACACATTAGACGATTCAAATTATTGAAACAGGACCCCTAGTGAGCCCCTACAAGTCCAACATTATCCTTCAATCTGATCATAGACTGGAGGAAAGCCAGCCCCTACTTCGGACTGGAGGAAAGCCAACCCTTACTTATAAAGAGTAGTGCAAGAGAGACAATTAGTGATCATCTCATTATAGATTATGAAATACTAATAAAATAAAAAATTTGTTAGTGATTTTATAAGATGATTTCACATAAATAAATAAATAACTTGAATTATAAAAACAATGATGTGTTAAATTTATATAATGAAAAATGTTTGATGATTCGAATTTGTGTAGTTCGAATGATTTAAATGTCTCAAAACGATATTGTTTTTACAAATTCAAGCTATTCGTGCCATGAATTTTCAGGTCCACCAAACATTACTGTTATATAATTGTTTTGTTATGAAGTAATATTTTCTGTAAGATATTATCTTCAATTAATTATTTATTAAAAGTCATGGCGTCAACAAAAGTGGCCGGTCAGAGGCCAAACAAGTCACGCACACAGGGCCACACAAGTCAAGCACACAGTCAACCCTTCCCCACACACATACACAAGCTTGCGTACGTAGACACACACAAACGATAAGATCAAGGAGCATCGTTGAGCTCTTTGAATTGATCTGGTTTTTTGAATCCCAGGAGCTTGAGCTTGAGCTCTTCTGAGGCCAAAAAGGTCACGCTTACAAAAATGTCTACAGATTTTCCTAATACTGAACTAGAAGTCAACGTATTGGAATGGCTTCGCCAATCTCCAACGAGGACGCCTCTGCTTTCCGAACAACTGTCGACTCCGCTACCGGAACAACCGACTCCGACGCCGACTACGACTACGATCCTCGACGGTGAGGTTCTTCTCCTCCGTTTAGTTTACCTTTGTTTTTTATTTTTTATACCTCACCTCATTTTTTTTGAACTTGGTAGGTTTTGTTTGAATTTTTTAAAAATTGAGTTTTTTAATTTTTGTATTTTTTTTAATTTTTAGTGAATATTTTTAAAATTTTAAATATTTTTTTAGATGCACATTACTTAGATGTATCTAAATAGTAATACTGAATTTTCTTTTTTTTTTATATTTTTGGTAATTAGTGAATTTTTAAAAGGTTTTTTTATAAATTTTTTATTTTTTAAGTATATTTATGTTAGTATGTCTAAAAATTTTTAAAAAAATTACTTAAAATATTAAAAAAATTAAGTAAAATAAAAAAATAAAAAAAATAAGAAAGTAAAATTTTCTGAAAAATATTTTTAAAAAATTCTAACTAATCAAATAATTTTTTTTTTTTTTTTTCAATTCAGTTATGTTGCTGGGTTTGTTTGTTTGTTTGGGGCTTTCGTCATTCACTCTTTAATTTTCAATTTAATTTAATGCTAGGCAACCCGGATCTCAATCAGAAGATCGAACGTGTGCTTCGAAATTTATGCGGAGGGCGACATGGGCCTTTGCTACTTCAATTTTGGACAATCACAAAAATGGGCAGCCGGTTTTCTCTTAAAACTCAAATTTCACATTCTTTTCCTGTAACACCTAATGATGCACTTACACGGTATTGGGTGACGTCTCACGGTAATGAAATTAGCTTGCCTGCTCTTTCCCGTGTGTCCATGTCCGACTTTGGTTGGTGTGGCTCTCCTTTAGCAACTTTGTTTTTGACAGCGTATTTGCCTTATAAGGAGATTTGTGTTGGTATGCTTCAAATAGTATCCTACACCAAAGAGACATGTCTACAATTTTTCAGGAAAGCTTGTGTTCGTGACCGCTTTCAGGTTTGTTCCCAACCCATATATCTTAGACATGCTCAACATTAATTCATGTGAAATATATAGTTTTCAGTTGAATTTTCTCTCAACTTTAGTATTTAATAGTAAACAACTCATAGGGTACCGTAAGATAGATGCCAAAGTTTCCGTGCGGTTTTGTCAACTTTGCCAAAAAAGTTGCGTTTTGGAGTTCTTCCCAAAAAAGTCAAAATAGCTTTTTATCATTAAAATCATTTGGGGAGATAAAAAAAAAAAAAGTTATTAGTAAAATTATAACTATACCCTTTATGGATTAAAATGAGCCACATATAGGTGAAATTGTAAATTTACCAAATTGGGTGGAAGTATTTTGGTCATTTAATTGTGATGTGACAACATAAACAAATATTAACCAAAAAAATCAAAAGCATCTTTTTAACAACTTTCCAAATCAGTTTCTAAAAAAGTCAAAAAGTTCAGTACAAAACCAAAAACTAGCATTTTACCATCTTTTTAAAACACCAACAAAATCTAGTAGTGAGAGGATAATTTGTGAACAAATTGACTTGAGCTAGGAAGAGTCTTCTTTGGAAGTTGGTCCGCGCAATAGGCCGAGATAGGAGTTGGTATAGCTCGGTCTTGGATTAAGAAGACGTTAGGCTGGTTGCCAGGGCCTGGACCTAGCTAGCTGAAGGTAGTCCTTTATCAGACCGAGATATTGTCAATAGAGAGGGTCGAGCTATATGTAGCTTGGCAGGGTGCCATACGGTAGATCGGCTTCTAGTCACACAGCCCGAACGGTAGGGGACCGAGATGAGGCAGCTCGATCAGGAATGTATATCCGAGCATGAGGGTGTGGCTATCTCACTTGGCTTGCAGTGATAAGGGTGTTCTAAGGATAAGTATCATCCTTGGGCATGAGATTCCTAGGAGCACTCTGATAAGGAGAGTACAGTCCTATTAGGATTGTGCAAACCATTTCATTTGGTTGGTAGTGAGCAGAGTGTTATCAGGATAGACATTATCCTTGGGAGTGTGATTCCTAAAAGGACTCTTATAAGAAGAGTTGGAGTTCTATTAGGATTGTACCAGGTGGAATTTATAAAAGCTCATGATAGAACCTATGAACAGGGATGGCAATTCTTACTCTTGAATACATAGAACTTTTGTCTCTATTGTCTATTTTGCTGACTTAGGCATCAGAGAGATTTTCAGCACATACCCGCCTGTTAGCTCACGTTTGTGCTTTCAGGTAGTAAAGCGACGACGTTTGGAGGAGTGCAAACTTGATCAACAGGATTATACGAGAAGATTATTTTGTGCTCATACAATTGGCGCCGTCTGTGGGAAGTATAGCGGAGAACAAAACATTTTGGTTGGGTTTTCCTTCAAACTGATTTCAATGGCGCATAATGAAGACTTACCTTAATCTGCCCTCGATGGACAAACTCCAAAAGGGAGCAGGAGGCGCGAAGATTGCCTTTTGTTCCGCCTATAGCAGACTTGAACCTCCAGCGACAGAACCCACGGAGGGGTGCACGAGAAAAGCGGGGCTCAATTCCTCATCGCTCTCACAGCCCATATGGACAAAGACGAAGGATGGATTCTCAAGTTTTAGAAGACCGCGTGAAGGAGCAAGACTAGTTGATAAAGAGAATGATGGCTGGCATGGAGACGATGAAGTGCCAGATGAAAGGCAAAGGCGTGGCAGGGGAAGAGATTCGTGAAGGTAAAACACATTCTCGCCACTCAGGAGATCGCAACAGGCGAGTCACACCATCCCAATCCGAAAGCAGAAACCTCACAACATGCGACACTCAATCAAGAACTTCTAGGACTCGTTACTCCAGGTCTGAGCGAACTAGGACTAAAAGGTCTTATATGAAGGGAAGCAGTTATCGACTCTCACATACTCACCCAACCACCTCTCGACACACCGAGTTTCCCAAATTGGTGGATCTGCGAACTGTTCTGGAAGAAAGAGCACAAAGAAAGAAAGACGCCAAGGCCCATGACCCTCAGAGGATCTCGTCTCTACAATGGATAGCATCTAGAAGGTACGGAAGTGTTAAGGTTAGAATGCCAATATCGCGCCTTGCCTACGAACCAGCCAATAAGGCATTGGCAAGGTTGCAAAGTTCACTATTCATTCTGGCAATAGAGAACGCACCACTGCCCTTTGGCTTCAACCAGGCTAAGTTCACAATCTATGAGGGGAAGTCAGACCCCTACATGCACTTGAGCCACTTTCGCCAAGTTATGGCCATACATCAGCAAAATGGAGCTCTAATGTGCATCTTGTTTCTGTTAAGCTTGGGCGACCTAGGCTTAACTTGGTTTGAAAAGTTGGCAGAAGGTAGCATTGCTTCATGGGCACAACTTGCGAAGACATTTGTCAGCAGGTTTAAAACGAACACTAAGACGCCAGTCAAGGTAAATCAGTTTCTTACCATTGACATGGGCGAGAAAGAAACATTGAAACCTTATAAGAACAGGTATTGGGAGACCTTCAACCAGATAGACGACTGTCCTACCAACCGAACTATTGCACAGTACAAGCGGGGTCTGCTAGTGGGTCATAAGTTGAGGGGTTCAATGAAAAAAGACGTCATGTAACGCCCCAACCCTTCACATGTCATCGATATTGTCTGCTTTGGGCCACGTCTGAACGGATTTATTATTCCCAGTGGGTCACCCATCCCAGAACTACTCCAGCCTAAGCACTCTTAACTGCGGAGTTCTGTTAGGGATTTCACCATCTAGGAAAAGGCCTTGATGTTATATAAGGGTCTAAGTTTTTACTTTTATAGTCCAGGAACTCCCCCTCCATTCTCGATGTGGGACACCGAGACCTTACAATCTACCCCTCTTAGAGTTGCACGTCCTCGTGCAGTAGCCTGCCAGCTTGCAAGCTTGCCAACATGCACCGAGAGACGCTAGGGGCCCACACTCGGTACTCCGGAGAGTCGGCTCTGATACCGTTTTTAATGCCCCAACCCTTCACATGTCATCGATATTGTCCGCATGGATTTATTCTTCCTAGTAGGTCACCCATCCCAGAACTATTTCAGCCTAAGCACGCTTAACTGCGGAGTTCTGTTAGGGATTTTACCACCCAGGAAAAGGCCTCGATGTTATATAAGGGTCTAGGTTTTTACTTTTATAGTCCAGAAACTCCCCTCCATTCCTGATGTGGGACACCGGGACCTTACACGTCGCCCCTTACTACAGAAGCCCTGATGGAGAGAGTGCACCAACAGATCCAGGTAGAGGAAGATGGGACACGGACCAAGGCAAAGTCCAACACAATAGCAATGCCAGACAAAAAGCCTTCGGCGAGAGTTAATACGGTCAACAAGTAGGACCGACCACACAAAAACCTTTGCCCAAATGGGGGCAAAGTGGGTTGGCAGGTTTGACCAATTCTTCCTAACAAATCTTTGCCCAACAGGGGGCAAAGGGAGTTGACAGGATTAACCAACTCTTTCTAAACAAACCTTTGCCCAACTGGGGAAAAAGAAGGTTGGCAGGTTTGACCAATAAAATTTTTAGGACTAAAGGTGGTTGGCAGGCTTGACTAACAAAAGTTTTGCACCCTTTAGCTGAGATGAGGATCTAGGATAAAGGAGGTTGGCATGTTTGACCAACAAAAAATTTTTTGCACTCTTTAGCCGATATGAGAATCTAGGCTAAAGAAGGTTGACAGGTTTGATCAACAAAAACATTTTAGTACTCTTTAGCCGAGATGAGGATCCAGGCTAAAGAAGGTTGGCAGGTTTGACCAACAAAATTTTTGCACCCTTTAGCCGAGATGAGGATCTAAGCTAAAGGAGGTTGGTAGGTTTAACCAACAGAAACTTTTTTGCACTCTTTAGCCAAGATGAAGATCTAGGCTAAAGAAGGTTGGCAGGTTTGACCAACAAAATTTTTGTACCCTTTAGCCAAGATGAGGATCTAGGCTAAAGAAGGTTGGCAGGTTTGACCAGCAAAACTTTTTTGCACTCTTTAACCGAGATAAGGATCTAGGCTAAAAGAGGTTGGCAAGTTTGACTAACAAAATTTTTTGCACTTAACTCCTTCCGTTGTGATTCTGTTAGGAACTTACACAAAATGAACACATGACACACTTATTGAATTTTTAAGACAATGATGATCTTATCTGGTAATCTCTTTGTACTTTGCCACTAAAATAAGGAAGGCAACTCTCCACGACTGCTCTAAAAACAGGCCCGCGGGGCATGATGTCAAATGCCATAAAAGACATAAGTCAAACCCTTCCTATCACCAATTGTGTTTAGGAAAGATGGTGGATCTCAGTCTGATGATTCTGTTTAAATCCCTAATAGAATCCGAACAAAAGGTGAGCCATAGTGTAGGGGGTGAAATGCAAATGAGCCATAGTTTAAGAGACTGTAATTTACCCATATTTAGTATTGTATATGCTTCATCCAACTATATCAATTTGGAGTAATATCCTTAGAGCAAATTCATATTTGTTTACGTTTTTTTTTTTGTTTTGTTTTGTTTCATGGTCTATTTCCAGTATGCATTTTTTTTTCTATTGGTAATTATTCTCAACATTTAAAAGTTTTCAAAGGATTCATGAGTTGTATCATCTTTTTTATTATTCCCTTGCAAGAGAAAGGTCTGATATGTTCAGATGTAGGACCTGAACCCTGGGCCATGCAAGTAAGTGGCAAAAATTGTAATACATAAATGTCAAGTATGGTATGGAGTGACTGTTTGGTGATTTTGGAGAATTACACCACACTATTTATCCTTTGACACTTGTCAAGTTATCTCCTAAAATTTTAACCCACAACTTTAACAAATAAATATAGTTTGAAAATTGATGCATTAAATTCAAGTTGTCTCTCAAAATTTTACAAATATATAAAATATTAGGAACCATTGTTTTCATCTATGTGGTTAGTAATCTCTTAGTTACAAGGAGCCACCAATATTTCTTCATTTTTGGTTAGAAAAAAATGACGCGGAGAATATTTTTGAGACTATTATAGTTCAAGGTTTTCCGATCATATTGACGTCTCCAAGTAAGTGAGAGACTATTAACTACATAGACGAAAATAATGATTCTAGTAGTAAAGAGTAGTTCGTGGG